GAGCTGCGGCAAACGGTTGCGGTGACCAATCAGGAGACAGACGCATGCCGGAGCTTGCCGCAACCGGACTTGCGCCTCCCTCCTGATTGGTCACCGCAACCGTTTGCCGCAGTTCACCGCATGCATGGAGTCTTAGCTTTACTATTTCAACAGTGGTATTAATCTAGAGAAACTAAAATTATATCGTGCAGAGATTTTCGTTGGTACCAATGTTATCCCCTCCACTTTCGGGGAACTATCGCCTTACCTGTATTATCTTTCATAACATAAAAGATTTGTATGTTAAGTATATTAGTGCTATTATAAGAAAAAACAGAAAAGATAATATTTATATCACTAATTTATTGAAGATATATTACGTATATATTATATTGAATCTATTTATCATTTTAATCGCATTTTTTCCGTTATCGTGGAACAATTAGTATCTGTAACGTTTAAGGAAAAAGGAATAAAACTGCAAAAAGGAATAAAGCTGCACTTTTCTTCCAATTAAAGCAGAAAATTAAAACCTCCCGCAACTGCTGCTTGGTTAACACAAAATTCGACATTTTCAACACTGTAAAAAGCAAGGTTTTTGTATGAAACTCAAAGCGATATAAACTGAATATTATTGGCAGATGTCTAACCTCTCTGAAACCGCCAAAATCGGCAGTCACTATGAACCATTCATAGCAGCCGGAGCCATCTTCTGAAAACGGACCGAACTGATTTGTACACCCAATAGATTTTTACGAAATATTAGTTGCAATGATTTCTAGGTTATAGAATATTGTAATTTGTGGTATTATTTTGTACAAAATTCTACAAAAAAAACAAATTTCTCTACAAATATTTATATCTGTATACAAATTTCTACAGATTTCTATTTTTAGTAAAAATTTGTAGTTTTTTGTTAAAGTTTTGTCCGCCAGGGACGGAAAAAACTTTAACAAAAGCCCATCGAATAACTGAAGCCCATCGAATGCTTGTTGAAGTTTATGATGACGCTGCTCCAGCTGATAAGTCATGTAGGGAATGGTTTCGACGTTTCAAGGATGGAGATTTCAGCATCGAAGATAAGCCTCGCTCTGGACAGCCAAAAAAATTCGAGGACAAAGAATTAGAGGCATTATTCGAAGATCAGAGTCAAACGCAAGAGGAGCTTGCAGAATCATTGGGAGTGACTCAATAAGCCGTTTCCTTACGATTGAGAGACATGGGAATTATTCAAAAACAAGGAAATTGGGTGCCTTATGAATTGAAACTGAGAGACGTTGAAAGGCGTTCTTCATGACAACGCTCGGCCTCATGTCGCAAAAGTCGGAAAAATATTTGGAAACGCTCAAATGGGATGTTTTACCGTACCCGCCGTATTCTCCGGATATTGCTCCTTCTGATTACTGGTTGTACCGAAGGATGCAGCACGATTTGGCAGGTCACCGGTTCACTTCTTTCGCAGATATCGAAAATTGGCTCTAAACTTGGCTCGCCTCAAAAGACGAGTCATTTTTTCGAGATGGAATTCGAAAATTGCCTGAGAAATGGGAGAAAGTAATAGCCAGCGATGGAAAATACTTTAATTGATCTGTTCATTCATTTTATTTTGAAATAAATACATCCTTTAACACAAAAAACGGACTGAACTAATTTGTACTCCCAATACAATTTTATAGAAGCAATTACAAAAATCTACAAATTTAAAAAATTGAAAGACAACAAAGTCTGTGGAAATAAAAATACTTACTTTTTGTAAAATATTATAAATATTTAGAAATATCTATGCACATCTACAAAAATTTTCATATCGTAAAACTATGTAATTTTAAATCCAATGCAGTTTTTAGTTTCCCATAAAATACAACAATTTTTTACATATAATTGCAAATACCGATTTATTTTTACGGCTGTACAATGTATTACAATTACTGCTAATTAAAATTTGTACTTTTCACTAAAATAGTACAAAGGACCTCGCACAAACCTTATGAAAATTGGGTCCCGGTGAATTTGTCTGAAACTTTGGGAAATGGTAGCTTCCGTCACGCTGATAAAAAATTATCATTGCACCAAATTGATTTATAGCGTCGTTTAGGCGCTAGTGTTGTTTGAAAGTCAGGAATTGTGCGGTATTCTATGGGTAGCATGGGTAGCATATCAGCTGCATATACATATATACATGTACACATGTGTGTGTGTGTGTGTGTATGTATGTGTGTATGCGTGTATGTGTCATATATATGCATATATATGTTCATGTATGTGTGTATGTACGGATGGGTGCTGCATGTGCACTCCATATATACCTTCATTATACATTGGTATTCGCTCTATATACAATATTAGTGGCAAGACTAGATGTTAGCTGGGCTTCACATCTTCACATATAAAGTATGTGGGGAGCCTCCTAAGGTTTTATATTTCGCCGCAACTTAAACGTGATTTATACGGTACATGCAGACAGCCATATTATATGTACATAAATGCTACATATGATTTATATATATATAAAACATTCTTACATTATTCTTCTTACATTAAATATTTTGTTTTATGTATGCGCATTGTGACTAATCCGATTGTACATGGCATTACCATAGTAAGTTTGCGTAAAGATATTAGTGTATCATTTTATGATTATTCTCATTTATAATAAAAATGCATTGTAACTTCAAGTTGTTGTATTTTCACATTTTAATGCAGTGCTAGCAATTAAGTGAGCAGCACGAGCCGATTTCAGAGGCAACGCCCGCGCTTCCCCCACTACCTCTCGAAGCGCAGCGGCCGAGCCGCCGATCGCACGTGAGACGCTCTGCCTCAGGAACGGTCTCATATACGATATAAGATGAGATCGCATCCTCCGTCAAACCAAAATTAAAATAATATTATAAATAAATATATTGTAAATAATATTAGAAATAAAAGCGTAATATTTCATCATCAATGAGAATAAGAATTATTTTGTAAGGATAAATAAATATTTTAATTTTGGTTTGAGTGCGAGTGGGAGAGTGCGATTCCAACTTATATCGTATATGAGACCGTTCCTGAAGCAGAGCGTCTCACGCGCGATCGGCGGCTCGGCTGCCGCGCTTCAAGAGGTAGTGGGGGAAGCGCGGGCGTTGCCTCTGAAATCGGCTCGCGCTGCTTACTTAATTGCTAGCACTGCATTAAAATGTGAAAATACAACAACTTAAAGTTACAATGCATTTTTATTATAAATGAAAATAATCATAAAATGATACATTAATATCTTTACACAAACTTACTATGGTAATGCCATGTACAATCGGATTAGTCACAATGCACATACATAGAACAAAATATTTAATGTAAGATGAATAATGTAAGAATGTTTTATATATATATAAATCATATGTAACATTTATGTACATATAATATGGCTGTCTGCATGTACCGTACAAATCACGTTTAAATTGCGGCGAAATATAAAACCTTAGGAGGCTCCCCACATACTTTATATGTGAAGATGTGAAGCCCAGCTAACATCTAGTCTTGCCACTAATATTGTATATAGAGCGGATACCAATGTATAATGAAAGTATATATGGAGTGCACATGCAGCACCCATCCGTACATACACACATACATGAACATATATATGCATATATATGACACATACGCGCATACACACATATATACACACACACACACATATGTGTACATGTATATATATATATGCAGCTGATATGCTACCCATGCTATCCATAGAATACCGCACAATTCCTGACTTTCAAACAACACTAGCGCCTAAACGACGCTATAAATCAATTTGGTGCAATGATAATTTTTTATCAGCGTGACGGAAGCTACCATTTCCCAAAGTTTCAGACAAATTCACTGGGACCCAATTTTCATAAGGTTTGTGCGAGGTCCTTTGTACACAAATTTATTAAAAATTACTTATTATTAATGTTATTCATTTAATTGAAGAAGTTATTAATATTGAATAAATGTTGATAGATTTGTGTACAAAGTTATATATTTAACTAAAAATAATTGTTTCATCAGTTTTTAATTGTTGGGGTGGAAAAGGATAATTGAAGATATTATAATTATTTGCAACAATATATAAATCAATTAATGTTTTTACCAAAATCTTCACAATACAATATACTATTTTTCGTGAACATAGATTGTTGTACACAAAAAGTAATATACTACATTGTAACAATTTTTGTGAAAACATCTATTCAGGTACATATTGTTGGAAATACAATATAAACTACGCGTTTTCACAAAACATAAAAAAAATTTACACAACTGTTTCCATTGTAACATTTCTTTATTTATACAATACTTATTTCGACATAAAGATACGTGGAACATTGCTAATAATAGTAATTTGACGTAACTTTGCCCTGTAATTTGTAAATCAAGTTGTAGCAATGTAATTATAAGTTTCGACCGAAAACTACGAAAATCTACAAAATTCTAATTCTAGCATTTCATTGTAGTATACTGTATTTTTATAGACATAGAAATTTGTAGAATATCAGTATTTTTTGTAATTTGACGTAATTTTGTTGAGAATTTCATAAATCAAGTATACAATAGAAAAGTACAACAAATTATAAAAGTGTTCCAATTCTAGCATTTTTATGTAGATTTTTGTAGCACATTGTAAATTCAAGTAGATTTTTTTAAGCACTTTGTAAATTTATGTAGAATTTCATAGATTCTGACACTTATTTTTGGTCGTTTTTGTACTTTATTTTTATTTTTTGTACAAATTTGTAAAATTTTTTCCGCCAGGGGTAGCAGTTAGTTTAACGAAAACAGCAAATATTTTTATGTTAAAATATTTGGACGAAACGTATTTTTCAATAAATTCAAGACGATCGGCAAACTCTGCCGATAAGTCGTGTGAAGTTTCGAGCATCGACGACATATTTTAAACCGTGGCACGCGATTGTGTGGATAAATTATCGCGATTGTCGCGACATTACCGGTCATCTTCGTTAGCTCGTAGCGCTATGTTCTTCTTGCAAACGTATGCACCGTGGTCGGCGCGTGCAACAGTAAAATGGCTGCCGAGAAACGTCAATACATTTTATATTAATAAGTGTCTACCTTTGTAAATAATCGCGGCGCGCGGAGAGACATCGCGCTTTAAGAACGCATGCCTCTCGATTGACGAGCCGGAATTCCTTGCGATCACGTGTATGAGAGTGTACGTGTCGTCGGGATGGCGGAATTCGTGCGTGGTGGGCCTAGCGTATCCAACAATGCCAAGGTACGTACGAAAGGCATTATTCATCCTCCGACCGTTGCATGTCTGTCGTTTTCTTTGTCGCGCGATGTCGTCGCGGGGAAGTGCGACGTCACGAGTCGTGAGCGACGCATCACGATCGTATCAGCATATATTTTTTCACGACCCTCATTTATTTATTCGTCTCCCCTTATCGTTTTGTCTGCGCGCGTAGTTGTATTTATGTACCGCCGACAACCGCGACTTATCTCTCGCGGTGTATCGTTATCGTTGTCGGCCGGCGATACTCCCAATCCCTCGATTAAACCCGCGCACCGCTACAATGAATGATGCGTGGCGCACTCCGCGTGTCGTTTATTCCTTGTTAGAATCACGCTAACGGTGTAATTTCAAAATTACGCCGGCGAAACTGGCCGCCGATCGACTGATTTTGACATGTGTCAAAGTGAATCGAATCGCTGACAGCTAGACGCAAAAGTAATAAACGCCGAGACGCAAGTGGGAATGAGATATCTGTCTCATTGGATAAATCAATTTTTAGATGGATCATAATAACAAAGGCGGATCTCCCAGTACAGGAAGCGAGGATGGCGGTCAGAATGAATTATTAAACGCAGAGAATGAATTCGATCCTTTTCTTGAAAGTATACCGGATGATATACAAGATACTGAAGAACCTGACGGCGCAAATGCCACTCTGTTAACAGCACCACCAGAAAATCAGTGAGACTGAAAATATAATTTATTAACTCTCACACAAAGATACATTTCTGAGATAAAATTTAATGTTAATGCGAAACCTATATACACATATATCATAAGCTATTATATAATTACAAAGTCAAGTACACTTATAGCTATAGAATCCAAGTCAAACTGGAAGAATGTGATCTTTTGCAGGTGGTATCATGGTAGATTAGATAGATTTACAGCAGAGGAAAGACTGTGGGATGCAAGTAAAATGGGTAGTTATCTGGTTCGTGAAAGTGACAGGAAGCCTGGCAGTTATGTCCTGTCATATTTAGGAAGGACTGGAATAAACCATTTTCGAATTACAGCTGTCTGCGGAGATTATTACATCGGTAGGGACTGATATATTTAAATTAAACTTCCTCAGACTACATATGTTGTATTAAAAAAATAATGTATTTAAAATTTTTAAATACTTTAAGATAAGCTTAGATTTAGCTTAATTAAGCTTGGATAGTAAAACATGGCTTACACAATTTTCACAAATGAAATGATGAAATTTCTTGCATTGATATTACCTTATGAAAAAAGCTGTCAAATAAAGGTTTTGTAATTTAAAACAATGTTGTAGGTGGTCGCCAATTTAATAGTCTGTCAGATCTGGTTGCATATTATACTCACTGTTCTGATCTGCTAAAGAGAGAAAGACTTATACACCCAACACCACCACCTGAACCAGTAAACGATAAAAAGCGAATTGTCGCGATATTGCCATATACGAAAATGCCAGACACTGATGAGTTGAGCTTTCAGAAGGGAGATATATTTTTTGTGCACAATGACATGGGTGATGGGTGGTTGTGGGTCACTGCTCACAGAACTGGTGAACAGGGTTTAATATTTCGAGAATTGGTGGAAGATCTCGACGACTCAATAGATCCTAACACGGTGTTTTCCTGGTTCCATCCCAATGTCACCAAAGGCGAAGCGGTGGACATGTTGGTAAAAGCAGGACCTGGAAGTTTCCTAGTAAGCGACCGATGGATCTTATTTGAGATGATATCCTTTACTATATTTTTGCAAACATGTCGTTAATATTCTCATGCAATAGGTCAGACCATCGGACAACAGTCCGGGAGATTACTCACTCTTTTTCCATATAAATAATCAGATTCAGAGATTCCGAATTGAGAAAAAAGGAGTACGATACCTCATGGGAGGTAGGACATTCGAGTGTCTTGATGCTGTAATTAACAGGTATATTACCTCGCACGAAATGATACATTTTATTATTTGAATGTACGATTTTTTTTTATTCCGTCATGCTTCTCTATTGTATCATCACAGATATCGAAAAGAACAAATCGTAGAGGGACATACCTTGGTTCAAGCAATGGTAACCGAACCCGACGGTAGTGTCAGAGTTAACAGAGAAGTTCAACATGCCGAGAAAATATACGCGACTCTGAGAGAATGTCGCGAGCAATCGGGAGCTAAGAAGAACAAGGGGATTAAAATGCAGGGATATCTGGAAAAGAAGTCTGAGAAAAATAAAAAGTGGAAAGCGTTGTATTTTGTATTACTGGTAGATGCTACCGACACGCATCTCTACCTGTATGACAACCCTAAGAGAACCAAACCAAAAGGTCTCATCGACTTAAGTTGTGCTTATTTATATCAGGTGAGAGATAAGAGCATTCAATACCTATAATAATGTGTTCAACAATATATCGTCATACATTCATATATTCATATCACGTCATACATTCATATCAAAACTAGAAATGCTAATGAATAACATAGAAGTAACTGTTACGATAACATGCATGATATGCGCGAGCGATGTCGCGCCGGCGATTGGTAAAAATAATAACGCACCTGAAGTAATAAACGCGGAATAAGTCATCGAAGCTATCTTTTTAGGTCCACGAAAGTGTGTTTGATAGACCTCATTGTTTCCAATTAGTCGAACGTGCTTTACCGTGTCTGGCTACCATAACTTATCTGGCTGCTCCCAATTCCGAGAACGCATTAGATTGGATTAACGCCTTGAAACCATTGTGTGTGTCACAACTCACTCGCGCCCCGAAAGTCGCTCGCCTCCGTGAATTACGTTCGTTACACCTGCATATCTTTGACGCGCATAGGCTTCCGTATAAGCTAGTCCCGAATCCATTCATTATAGTGGCTTTAAACAATGTTAAAGTCGCTCGCACAAAGGTTAAAACAGGATTACATCCGCTCTGGGATGAGGAATTCATTCTAGAGTACGTATGCGAATCACATGTATCGAGAGTGTAACGCTCTATACGATCGTACAATTCGTACTGACGTTCACGAATTCGCTTAACAGAGACGTACCTCCGGACGTTATGTCTTTCTCGCTAACTCTATATAACAAGGGTAAACGCAGCAAAGATACGGAGGTTGCAGAATTGACAGTCGAGCTGGCGAGCTTGAGTAATGGAGAAGAAATGGACGAGTGGTATCCGCTTTCAGGTCTCACGCCTATCGGCGAATGGGGAGCGTTACGTTTACGTTTACGGTAAAGACTAGAATGAAGATTTTTCTAAGAGATACAGCATGTATCTTTGTGTACTAAGTTATATTTATTAATTTTTCATATAAATACATGAATGTATATCGAGAGAAAACATACATTCGCAGATACAGACATGATTTAGCTATGCCTCCTGAAGAGTACAGCCCTCTTCAGCAATTGCTGTTGGATCCAGATCTGCATGTTGTCAAGGCTTTAGCGGATGTATGCCATTTAGACAAAGTACCTCTGGCAAATAGTCTTCTTAGAATATTTAGGTACATATAATTTTTCTACGTTGCGAATTATTTAACATATATATACATATATATATATACGTATGTATGTGTCGATTTTGATACTAACAATCTTTTAGGCATGAAAGAAAAGAGGCGGATCTCCTACGATCATTGAATCAAGCTGAAGTAAGTAATAATTTGACCTGCACACACACACACGGGGAAATATATTACTTAATCAGTTGCATTTTATTTAGGTTGAAAAGGAAGATGAAACACCAACACTATTTAGAGCTGCAAGTCTTACTACTACTTTAATGGATTTGTACATGAAGTCCGTATGTACTTCATTCTTAAAAGCTGCTTTGCGTGATACAATTGTGAAATTGATTGAAAGTAAACAGAGCTGCGAATTGAATCCAACGAAAATGGATTCTCCGGAAGATGCATGTAGCAATGCAGAATTCTTACTACAAGTGTGTAATTATCCTTGCAATGCTCCGATTTAGTCGATGGTTAGAGACGTTATATGTACTACCTTTGTTGATTTTAGGTATTGGACGAAGTTACATTGAGTATTTTTACGAGTCCCGATGCTTGTCCCAGGACTCTCAGATACATTTGTGGATGCTTACAAAGAGCAGTTGTTGCTAAATGGCCACATGAAAGACTAGTCAGAACTCGGGTTGTCAGCGGATTTATATTTCTACGTCTTCTTTGCCCTGCCATATTAAATCCTAGGTCGTTTAATTTAATAGCTGAGCCACCCCCACCAAGTGCTGCAAGGTAATTAAATTGCGTACAAATGTGAAATTGAGCTAATTAAGTTTTGAATACCTCTTTAACCTGTTGCACTCCACTAATGGTTTATATTACTTGTAGATCATTAGTTATGGTGGCTAAGTGCCTGCAGAATCTGGCTAATTTAGTGGAATTTGGTGGGAAAGAGCCATACATGGAAGTCGTGAATCCATTTATACTCAAAAATAAAGAACGGATGGTGGTATTCCTTGACCAGTTGTCTGTAAGTTCCCTTCATGTTTATTATTTTAATCCCATGACTTTCATGTGGTTAGGTGGATCCGTGAGCGATGCTATAGCTTTTAATAAAATTATACAAATATACAAATATAATTGAATATAAGTGTTAATTTTTTTTGATGATGTTTATATGGTTAAACATAGAATGTCGCTGATAAACCAGAATCAGAAGGTACAGATCCAAGAACTAAAAGCACCTATGTATCTGACACAGCAAGAGATTTAGCGACATTACATCACATTTGTGTCTCACATGTGAAAGAACTTCAGGTTTTGTCAAAGACACAGGTATAACTGTACATTTTTAATTTGTAATTATTTGAATGAGTGGCGTTTAAGAGAAGAAACAAAATTTACGTTCCTTTTGTTTGTAGCCGACGATTAAACAACTGGTAACGGTGACTGAAATGCTGAACAAACATAAGCAGAAGTATATGGAGATGATACGGTAGTGCTAGAGCCATCAGCCATGAACAATGCCAAACACAATAAAACATTTTATAAGATTTAAGACGATGATAAATAACATATGTAGTAGTATTTAATTATTATAATTAAGTGATTATAAACGTACAGACTGACGTGCCATATATATTACTGTATACACTCAAGCCTACATTTACTATTTCGTATGTAATTAGAAATTAGTTTATATATATATATATATATATATATATATAGTAACACATGACAGTGATATAGTTACATACAGAATCATATAGACGTATAACAGTTTTATATTTACTTAGGTGCTCGAAAATAAATACAACTTCAATCGAAATATCTAAATTTCAATTATTTTAGTCCTATTCCGAATATATATTTGAGAGTCTTGGCTATTTAAACCAATCATGCCATATGTGAAATATTTTAAAATTAAACATGAGAGAATCTGAAATGAATATAGTCTCTTCATACTAGTATTTTATACATATTGATATACATTTATTTGGTATACAGAAATGTAAATTATTTTTACAAATAATAAAGTCCTACTACAGTTTGTGTGAAATCTTCATATTTTGTATAATAAACAACGTTACTGACTTATGTCTATTTTCAAGTGCCAATTATATTCATTAATGTTCTATGTACTACTCCACTGTTGGATAATTAAAGTTCAGACTATCAATAGAACAATTAAACATCTAACGGTCCAAGAAATCTGTTAAGGGGAACACTTTGTACTCGTCAGTTTACTATTTGGACTATTTACTATTATTTAATGGAAGATTGTACATAAACATCAATATTTTGTGGTGTTGTTGCACAATATATGAAGATTACGCACTAATAACTGGTAGAGCTTTCATTTGCTATTCTTTTTTTATATTTGAGTCGATTTCAAAAAGCTAATAAACTATTTAAGGTGTAACTTTTTATTGAACATTATATCATATATATGACAAGACGAAATTTCGTTAAATACAAATTTATATATGTATATCCTGATATAATTAGAGAAATTGGAAAATACTAAAAGAGGTATCGGCCAAATTGACATAATTGAACTTTATGTAAAACTTTATTGACGAACTTCGATTATAATGTATGAAATATGAATATATCGTTGAACGTTATTTATAATTGATATATTTCTATCTAAAAACTCGTATCAATGATAAAATATTATTTTAAGAAAGCTAAACATATGAAAACTTTAATCAATGTTATAAAACAGCGCAAACGAGCCATAACGATCTTATAGGCAAGCATTCAACAAGCGAATGCATATAACGAATAAGTTCTATATAAAAAGTTTCAGATATATGAAATTGAATCATGTAATATTTATGCCGTGTATAGTTATATATACACATTTTCATTATATAGAAACATTAATGTTAAAGAATACGACATGTACACGCATACGAGAATATGGAAGTTGTATTGTTTGCATTGCTTGGTGAAGGATTTAACCCTTGATTGTTCCTTGAACATATTACAGAGGCTAGTCAATATTTACGTTGTATATTAATTGAAGAATAAATTCATTATGTCGAAATTATCTTATTGTCAGAAAAGAATACTCAATTAACTTGAGTACTGTATTTACGTTCGTCGTATCGTTCGTTTTATGATAACTTTACTGATTAAACTATGTGTGAGTATCGCAATATAAATTACGATAAGTATATATTTACTTTATTAACTATGATACGATATGCTATATTATAGAAAATTATTATTAGTAAAGCAGAAACGTAAGTCTTTGTTACTGTATCAACTCAATTGACAGCAGTCTCTCTTACGCTTCCTCTTAAAGTTTAAGAGATAATAGTTTTAAGTATATTTAGATTCTCCTACATAAATGTGTAGAGAAAAATAAATCTATAAGCATATATTAGCAGGAATACAGCTTTCTTGTAATAAATTCATTATTTATAGGAGAATAAACATACATTATAGTTGAATAAGCCTTTGGTTAATAATATGTAATATGAGAAGTATATATAATAGGTGATATATGAGAAATTAATACAAGAAAGCGATATATCCTCTCAAATTTAACAATCGCCATACGAATTTATTTTGATATCATTATACAATATTCGTTATCTGATTCGTATTATTTCCAAATTGTACTAATGACAAGAGTATTCATGTTTCTTACAAGGTAACATATGGAAGTGTCGCTTACAGATTTTTAAATACCATAAAAGTTTTGTCGAAAATATCTTTTTTCATATATTTCATCATTTCAAATATATTTGCTTGTAACTAATTTTATCAAATTATTTGCGAGGGATTGTTTGAAACGCAAGAGAGAGAGAGAGAGAGAGAGAGAGAGAGAGAGAGAGAGAGAGAGAGAGAGAGGAAACATATATAAAAAGAAATATCTTATTTTAACTGCTCTCAATATATTCAAAACTCATAAAAAAATTAATGAAAGACACTTTTATGTTTCTTTGTAAGATAGAGTACATTTATATATTCCTACATTATGAAATAAGGTCTTACTTCAAAATTGCAGATACTTAATCACAGTAAACACTTAACTAATCTGGCATGTACTTAAGAATATCTAATCACAGCACATAATGAATTAAGTTTGTGATATCTATTCTGTGACTCTTGAGTTTCTTGTTTTAGAAAATGATGAAAGTTATTTCTTTACCATATAATGTTCAGAATACTAAAAATGACAATGATCAAAACTTAATTCATAAGTTATACAATTCGTACATTGATTAGATTTTATTTTTTAATAATGTATTATAATATTGCTGTTTGATTAAAATTCATTAGCGCGCAACGAATGATTATAGTATATATATGTATATCAATTAAATATCTACAATATAATTATGAAAAATAAACTCGCACAATACATACATGCCGTGTTATTTAATACAAATTCTTTATCATTGGCTTATTTATTCTATATGTTTTATAATCTCCTGTATAAATGACGATTAATATTGGCCAATATAAATCTCTGCATGAAATTCGATAGATTTGTGAATTTGTTGTAGCTTTCCGATTTTCTATAAACATGCATATGAAATTCAATGTCTTTTTTGTGTCAACATCATTACATGTAACGAAGAAAATAGTTATCACTCTTCCAGTCAATCAAGGGTTAAGACACTTCGGTTTAATGGAATATTACGAAACGTATGGCAAATTGCCGGGTAAACATTTCTTACCAAACATAAATCCATTAGTAAAAATGTACGTAATATTATACAGTACTATTAGGTAATTTGTTCTTCTCTCAATGTATAGAAAAAATTGTGCTAGTAAATTATTACAATATTCTATAGAATAAGCTGCAAATATTTGTGCACTGTGAACATAATGTAAGGCTTTTCGTATTCTATTTCTGCGTTGTAATATGTAGTCGAGTGAAAATATATTGGTGTTATCCAAAGAGTTATAAAAGACAGCATCGATGTCTCCTGCGTCCGGCATTACCGACTTTATTACGTTTTTTCTTTTCTTTACCTCTAAGTTCTTTGTCTTTCCGTATTTCTCTGACCTAAAATATATGACAAAATTTTGTTGTACAAATTTGAAGTGTAGTTGTAGAAGTTGAATATTACTGTCACATAGAAATTGTTTTGATAAATAGAATATTATATATATATATATATATATATCACAGAACCTCTCCAATATAATAAGTTATTACTATTTATTTACCAAAGTATAAAAAGCATCATCTACACCCATTCTTGTTTTTGCTGAGGTTTCTACAAAAGGTACACCATACTGCCGCGCGACTTCTCTCGCTTGAGCCATGTTTACTGCCCAACACTGCTGAAGATCGCATTTATTGCCGACTAATACCATTGGTACCTCCTCTGCATCTTTTACTCGTTTTATTTGTTCTCTATATGTACTAATATCCTATAATATTAAGAATATAATATAGGTTTCAAAAATTTGAATTGAATTGGCAATAGTGTAGAACATGCTTACCTCGAAACTTTTAGCTGAATTTACAGCAAATACTAACAAAAACCCTTCTCCTGTTCTCATGTACTGATCTCTCATTGCACTGTATTCCTCTTGTCCTGCTGTATCTAATATATCTAGAAGACATGTTTCACCGTCGATCACTACCTGTTTAATGATAGTATTGGTAAATTTAATAAAGCAAAATAAGATATAATACACTGCTTAAGACTTCTTAATTCTAAAGTTTTAACTTTAACATTAATTTAGATAGTCTAGTACAAAATAATATTTCATAAATTATTGAAAACTCTCATAGAGAACCATGGTAGAAATTAAATTATTATATGCTTACTTGTTTTCTATACGAATCTTCTATAGTAGGATCATACTCGTCAACAAAGTGATTCTGTATCAGCTGAATAGTAAGAGCTGACTTCCCAACACCACCAGCACCTACTACTACAAGCTTATACTCTGTCATGATGTAGTGTCTTAATGAAAGTTACAACCTTTGTTGTTTCTTTCAGGATATGTTCTTTTAATAAACTGCAAAAAGAAAAATACAAAATTGATGATAAGTTTTTCACTATTGAATTTTTTTAAAGACATGATTTATTGTTAAGAGAAAAGGTAATTTATATTTTATGCAAATTAAATAATTTAGCTTTTTTATTAGAATCAACTCCATCTGTCTTTGTTCTAAAGTTCAACTTTTAAGATACAAAATACAGCTCATCGTTTTAGAAGCTCTAATTGGCAATTATTGTATAATCTCTCTCATGCACACATATGCACACATTTATACACACACTCTCTCTCTCTCTCTCTCTCTCTCTCACACACTGTCTCTTTCTTGCTGGATTAGTCATTCACAATTATTACATACACTTAATGGACTCAGTAGGATGAGCAATCATCAATATACACATAAATCACTTTGATCACTCGCAAATTCGAGAGTGACGTATCGGACGCATTTGACAACTGAAAAATACAACATAAATAAATGGTTGTGTATGTACACAAGCACATCCAACAACCAACGGCAACCCCACATATGTACTACGTGGGTAGACACGTAACAGATTGATCGTAATCACGGGGCAACTGAGAGTGTACTTAGCACCCGGACAATTGTTGTCGACAGGCGCCAAGAGAAATTCCTCAACGAAGTATTTTTACGAGGAGCACCCGCGTCATCGACGTGCTATGTGCGTCGTTGTATCCCGAAGTAAACAATGCATGCTCTCGAGATGCAGCGCGGCCGAGAGGAGACGGAGAGAAGCGGCTTAACGACGCGGACGACGTATTGCCCGTAGCCGTTCGCACACTTACCGTCACTCAAAGACTCATCTGAACGAATTGCAATCCAACAGTTAAAACACTCCTCTCCTACGTGAGAATCCGCTCCGTCGCGAATTAGTCACTGGACAAACCATCTGGAAAGGAGCATCGTCAGTGCTGCCAATGTTGCTTTGGCCGAAGTTACGGAGCCGGAAATGTCGGGAAGGGTGTTGACCACCGGGTTCGCGACTGACGGATTGCTCTCACAGATGGCGCGGGTGCGGCACGAAACAGACGTCAGCTCAGTCGCCGTCGCGATGGGTGCTTCAAGCGAATCATCATATTCGAGATAACGATTGAAATGATGATATCAGACGATAAGCTGTCTTTTGATTAAGTGGTCAATTAGATATTAAGACCGTCGTGGATATTTTGTACATCCTGCGCTGCACGATCTTCAATAAATAAATAAATGAATTATTGCAATCTCGTGCACGCGTTGCTACGTCAGTTATATCGATATATCGAAATTCGCAATTGGCCAATTACAGAACAGATTGCGGCGCTATTTTCGTAAGATGTTTCCATAATTTCGACCTATTCCAAGAATTTTACGTGCAAAGAAACGAGTTGTCAGAAGCGAGTTTCGTGCGTTCCCAGAGGCAAATTGTTTTTAAATAATTTTCAAAGTGATTTTCTTGCAACAGGTAGTCAGGAGCACCGGAATGAAGTATGTTACATATTGCACTTCGAGAACTCAATTGCTGCTTTATTCGTCCATTTGCGATGCGGATCGACGCGCAGCATGTCGACTGCGACTAACCGTCCCGTATTTCTTGTAATTTCGGTATGTTGAAGGTGAGTCCTATATTCGAATTATCACTGAAAGCATTGAAAAGTACTTCAATAAGCCTGTCGCGATGAAGTATTGCCGAATAACGGTCACATGTGATTATTTTGCGACACGGATTGTCGGGAGTATCAAACAAAGTATCGCGCGACCGTTACGACGTGACGGCTCGAGCTTCGAACGGCTTCAAAGCGTTGTTCCTTACGATCTCACTCGGCTGAAGAAATCTCACGTCTAAAGTATCGTCGCTGGCAGAGTCGGGAATCAATTTCGTGCGTTTGTCTGAACAAATTATCGTCGAACAACGGTCAAAGTGAATGTCTCGCGAAACAGTTCGTCGAAAGTGTCGAGGAAAGGGTTAGACTGTTACACCACCAGATGGCGACACACCAATTCAAACCTATGTGCCTTTTACGATTTCAATCAGCCGAAATAAGCTCGCGCGCGAAGTATCGTCGTCGGAAGTACCGAATGTAAGTCTTGCGCGTTTGCAATGACAGACCATCGTTAAATAATTTCCAGAGTGATCATTCTCCGCGGTTAATCACAGGTACTGTTAATCACAGGAGTGCTGAACAAAGTATCTTATGTATCGCATTTCGAGAACTCAATCGCTGCTATGTTCGTTCATTTGCGCAGCAGATCGGCTGCGAGAGAATCGCAAAGTGTTCCTCGTAATTTCAAGTCATCGAAGATGAGTCTCGCGTCGGGAGTGCCGAAAATGAGTCGCGCGCGTTGAGCATATAACAAAATATCGTCGAATAACCGTCGAATATAAACATCTCACGAAATCGTCGGTATAAAGCGTCGCGCTACACCACACAATGGCTGCTCGGAGTTCAAATTGTAGGTTACGATCTCGAGGCGACAAGGAAGTCTCGCGCACGGAATATCGTCGTCGGGAGTGCCGAAAATATAAGTTTCGCGCGTTTATCGTTTGATATCGTCGAAGATGAACTTTCCCCGAAATTGATAATTGCGAGTACCGAACGGAGGATCGCACGGCCACAAGATTACGGCAACGAGCAGTTCAATTCGCCGCAACTGGTATCGTCCTCTTGTCGAGAGAAGAATAGGTGAGTGAAAACAAAAGCTACGATACGCGTTTCGATCAGGTAGGTAGAAGTCGCCTACGATTTTATTCACTCTGACAATCTTACGATTGTCAAATTCCGTCACTTCATTGTTCTGCAAGTGTAATTAGTAAGTGGCGACAACTGCACGCCGAGATACTAGAATCGCGAGAACAGTCGGTAACGTCAGGGCTCTTCCGGGGCTTCGTTAATAATCTGTATAGAGAATTACTCGTCGCTCTCGTGAAATACCTAAAGAGCAATCTGCATTAACGACGAGCACGATACGAGAAGCGTGAGATCCTGCGACAGAGTAACACAACGGCGAGTGCAAGACGCGAGTGTTTCGATCGCCGTAAGACAGGAAATCGAAATTCTGAAAACTGTCGATGTATGCCGATCGTTTGTTGAAACTCGCTCGTTTTCGGCGTTAGCGTAAGTTTCATTTTCATATAAATACGCGTTTCTTGACTTGGCGATATTCCCGTTCTGCAACGAGCGAATTCGACGAGTCAGTTACACACAACTATGCGCATTGTTTGATTTAAGAGCGTCCACTGCGAAAATCGGGCATTCCTCGCGATTTATAGGCACGAAGCGAAGTCTCTCTGATGTTATTCGCGACAGGCTAAGCGGACTTTATCCGGGATATCGTCACACGCGTCTTATTCCCGTGGGACGTCGGTCCCACACAAGTTTCCCTCTATCTATGCCATAAAAGCCGATAAGAGCATCGCGCATTTTTCCCGGCTATTGTGTCTATATCCGCGGTGCCCTATAAATTCGTTTTGGAACACGCGTGTACACCGTACCGTGTGCTTCTCGGGTGTCATTGCTTCAAATTTGTCAAGAGATAGCGTCGATAGATGGATGGACGCGCGCGAGTGACATCTTCTCCAGTTAAGCTTGTGCGTACAAAGTATCTCACGTTTCTCAAGGTATCAACGCATTGAGCTTCGATGATCAATATCTTCGATATTTACTGATATTCGCTTTTTGTCGACAAAAACCGCGAAGAGTTTATTTGCTAACCGACATCCGTCAATTAAGATTCGAACTTTGTGGGTGTACGTACCCACTTTGCGCGCAGCTCGACGCAAATTTCTCAGTCGCCGACCTTCCTACTTCCTTTTTCACGGGGAACTTTTCGAGCAAACAGTTTCTTTCTCGTGTACTGACGTGTACACTGAGTGACGACGCGAATAGAGAGAGAGAGAGAGAGATGTACACAGATTGCACACAGACTCAGCCTGTAACGAGATTACGCGCCTCGGCGCGTAGGAAGATCGAAGAATACATCGTTAAAATCTGATACGGCTACAACGAGCTCCGGAGACACGGCGTGTAATTAGCGAAACGCTCTAATACCGTTGACGCGGCACGTCGAAGATAGTTTAAGCCAAATAATGCGGAGGACGCGGACTGCGCGCGTGACCCAATCGCATTTACATTGCGGTTGCTCCACGCGCGCAATTACGCCGCGCACCGCCGTTGAATCAATTTGGTTAGCTGTGACGCCGTATTATCGCCCGCTTTAAATCACCTGAATTATATACCGGGTATCCCGTCTGCGGCGCGAGAGTCGAGGCGGGCGTGCCGCTCTCTCGGCTGTCACTCGCGGTGTATCACAGGCTGACAGCCGGGGGCGAATTATGAATTATTGAGTGAATGAATAATCGTCGCTGTAAACAGCGGCTCGTTCCTCCCCTGGTCTAGTGCCCTCTTCGGTCATGCATACAGCTTCATTACGCGCGCGAGGAATGCCACATGGTCGGTCTCGCGCGTTCATCTGGACGGGCTCGTAGATACGCGGAAAAGTCGAACGATCCGCGGCCGATATTCAATCTTGTGGATTATTCGCGACCTTCGATCGTGCGACGATCGGAGCGTACTGAATGATAAATTCGTATTCGCAAATTGTTATTCGACAGTTCGATCCGATGTTTCTTGCATGAAATATGCACACACGGTGACGAGTAATCAGAGATTCATGAGGCTATGATTACTTGTCAAATAATGACGACCTGTGAATGTCGGTTTAACACGCCGCTCGCGACGATTAGGCGATTACATTGGACGAGTAATCTCGTCGAATAGTGTGGTGTGAAGAAAATATTTTTATAATCAAGATTAGATAGCAAGAGAGGGCGGGCAAATTTAAATTCGACACATATCGAAAGTGAATATGATAAGTGAAAGAACGAGAGATTCTTTTGTTGAGCAATACACGAAAAAAGGTTGCGATGCGGTATTTGCTGCACGCTAGATCGGTCGATTTTCTCCTTCGTATATATGAACATGTCGCGCTATTTCACGAATGTTTAATAGGCCCTCGGAGGATAAACATTTAGACTCGTAAATACAGCGGGGCGAATATTCATGCCGACGTGTCAAACGATTTTTAGCCGCGCCCGAGGGCCCGACGCTGTTACGATAATTGAGCAAACCGAATTATGCGTGTATCTAATAAACTATCGATCGTAAACGTTACTCATATGCACACGTACGTGTCCGCTAATTGATCATTCTCCATGTCGAACGATAACGCGCTAATGATATACCGGCGCGTGGGAAAATCAAGATCTACCGGGTACGCCGCGCGTATAGGACCCACGGGAGTATTTAGCCGGCGCGCGCACGCGCGATTGTATTATTTGTTTTTTTTTTTTTCCGATGTTTCTCTCGACGCGGGTGTCGTTAATCCTCGCGAAGAGGAAAAGAGAGCGCTCTGAACGATCGCGTAGATCTTTCTTTCCCCGTGCGGAACGCGAGGTCGACCGACGGGGTGGAGCACGTGGAAGAGCGTGCAAGTAATTTGAGGCTTTATTGCGGAAAAGCACGGTAATTTTACGAGTTTTCCAGTGAGGCGAATTAAGATTTGCATAACGTGCCGACCCGCCGTTCGCTCTCTCTCTCTCTCTCTCTCTCTCTCTTTCTCTCTCTTCCTTCCCGTCTCCCTCTCTGTTTCGCATTTAAGTGTCGAGAAATGCAAATGTGGTTCCGTCGTCTTTAGAACCGTCTTTCTCTCTCCCTCTCTCTCCCCTCTCTCTCTCTCTCTCTCTCTCTCTCTCTCTCTCTCTCTCTTTCTGTTACGGATCGCGTTAGAGAGGTGCGGCACGAAAGCTGAGTGGTTATGTCTCGCTGTGCTGGTATAGATGGGAGAAACCTCCTTCTCTACCTCCTCCTCCTCCTCTTCTTCTTCTCCTCTTGCTTTTCGCTCCACTCACCTTCGTCAACCAAAACCAAAATCCTGCAAAGACCCGCAGTCTCGA